ACAGTAAGACTCATTGAGTGAAAAAAAATTTACAACAACACATTTCAACTTGTCAGATCCAGCAACAATGCAAATTTTGTCATGGCACTTTCAAAAATATGCACAATGCATTTTCACATATTCAATAATACTACAAAGTGAAATTTGTGTTGCAATGCTTTTAATAATCAACCAAAACACAATCTGGCAATGTAAAAATGTCATGATGCATTGTGGATGCTTATTGATGCAACATGATAAAAATATCTGTGCATAAATAAGTAACAAATTTCTATTTTTTCTAAATAATAAGGAAATTTGTTACTTATTTTTGCACAAATATTTTTATTATATTGCATCATGCCTGCATTAATTAATTAATAAGCATCCACAATGCATTGCGGCATTTTTACATTTCCAGATTGTATTTTGGTTGATTATTAAAAGAATCTCTACATGAATTTCACTGTGTGGTCTTATTGAATATCCAAAAATGCATTGTGCACATTTTTGAAAGTACTGACATGGATCTGAGAAATTGGAATTATGATATAATGACATTTTTCCTTCAATGAATGTTTTTGATCTTTGAGCCTAACATATACTGTATAATAGAAATATAAGTAAATAATTTTAAAATAAAAATGTTAACAAAATTGTAAATTTTTACATAAGACATTTTAAGTATCTAGACAATCATCTAGGGCTGAGTGGAGAACAAATTTATGCAGAATTTTGTTTTGTGGCACCTGCTGATGCACAACCACTACATAAAACAATACTATGTATATATTTAATTCTGTGTTTAGATAAAAACAGAATTTATCTGGCTACATAGTGCCCAATAATCTTCCACATTTAATTTCTAATAGTGGAATAAATTGCTCAAATGAGTCTCAAGCAAATATTTTGGTGGCATATAGCAAGGATAACATCTTTTGAAAATTTTCAAAGTCTTATTGACAGTAGTCGTAGACCAAATCCAAACAATGCTTATCATTTTGTGACTATATATTTATTAATGATTTCTCTTGCATGACAAATGTTTTGAGCCATATTCTTTTGAGTTCAAGTAGAAGTTTATGCTCATATTTAATAATTAGCAATCCACTTTCTTCAAATTTCACTAATGTTTTATGATTGTTACTTGTATTTGTCGAGTATCATTATAATATCTTAACATTTGACATTTTTCTTATTGTAAGTATTGTATTTCTTGTAAAACAACTTCTCTTGCTTGATGTTGAATTGGATATTGACAGTATTGAAGAACTTATGGCCAAATATGGCCCCAGATAATATAATTTAAGAATTACATGCTAATGTTGTTAATTTTTTTTAGTTATCAAGTGCTACTGAATAGACTGAGTAGTCTACTGATAATTTTTAATTCAAATCCATCACTGAATAGATACTTTATTAATTAATATTTTCAGGGTTCCTACGCACCTGGAAAGTCAGGGATTTTCATTAGTGTTTGGAAAAAGTCAGGGAAAGTCAGGGAATTTGTCAAAAATTGTCAAAAAGTCAGGGAATTTGTCAAAAATTGTAAAAAAGTCAGGGAATTTGTCGAAAATTGTCAAAAAGTCAGGGAATTTGTCTCCTTAACTGCATTGTTGATCTCGTTTGCTGAATATCACAGCCATCTGCAGGCGGCAAGAAGTAATGCTGCAATCTTTAAAACCCGAGATAATTCGGGCAAGTTCCATAGCGTTACATAAAACTCGGGCATTTGGGCCCTCCGAAAAAATGTTTGATTTTTTGGATGTTTTTTAAGTCTCCAAATTTTAAAAAAAAAATTTTTCCCGCGCGAAAATATTTTATCGCGATTTTAATATACCTTTAGTGATGCACGATTAACGCTTAATTGTTTTTTAATGGGCGTTTTTTTATCAAATTTCATTAATCGTTCTAAAGTGCACAGATTTTACTTCGATAAAGTTATTTAAAGCTAATTTCTGATGTCAAAAATGACCTCCAATAGTTTTTTAATTTTTTAAATTAATATATTTTATTATATATACGTTTAATTAAGTCGGGGGGTCGAAAATCGCAATAAAAAAACGTAATTTTTGAAAAATATTAAAAAATATACGGCCAGCTAGTATTCACCCTACTTTAAACCCTTCTCCTCCCGAGACTTCTATGAGAATGTCCCGGGAAATCCAACACCAGCTGTTCTCCAGGTCATCCAGCTGTAAACACAATGACTCATCGGTGTCAGATTTCACAGAAAGGCGAGACAATGGAAAATAAAGTTTGAAGCTTTTTCTTCAAAATTAACGCATTTCTTTCGTTTTTTTCCCAGTTTTAAATATTTTTTATGTTTAATTACATTAATATTAAAAATTAGTGGGTAGCAAGGGAGTTAATTAATAACAGGATAAACTACTTTTATGTAATAGTGTTTAATTTTTAATTTTAGTAATTCAGCGATTATAAAAAGATGAAATTGTTTATTAGAATAAAAAATAACTAATTAAAAATTTGTTTGCAAACTTTTAAAAGTTGAAATCGTAATTTATTAGAATGTTCACTTCAAAATAGCTAAACAGATCAGTAAAAATCTGTAATTTAATCGTTTTTCAGTTTAAAACATAAAAAATTATAAATAGTTACCCGACGTTTACAGTAAAATACTGGCGCTGACTTGTTGTTGGCACAAGCTTTTTATATTTGTTGTTACGATTTTCCTTGAATGTACTGTACTGCAAGCATATTTTCCCTCTCTCTTCCGTTTTTTTCCGCAACTTCGATACATAGTTTAATAATTAGTTAACTGAAATGATATTGGGTAACAAATATCACTGATTTTGGCAAATTTAGGGCTTAAAAACTGGCAAGATTGATCATGCTTGTAATAAATATTCTGTAGTTATATTTTCGAAAATCAACAGGTAATCCGATAGTTTAACCAATGTTAACTTGCTTATAATTAAAATTTAAAAATTAAAAAGCTGTAAATTTAAAAAAAAATAATTACATTACTAAAAAATTAAAATAAATTTGATTATTTTTTGTGCGAAACAACACCAAAACAATTTTTATAGTTATGTTGCAAAAGAAAGAGATTTGTAGTTACGATTCTCTGCGCTGAACTTCTATATTTTAATAACGTATAATTGTAATTTCGTTTGTTGTTTATTTCTGTATTTATTTTATTTTATAAGTTTTAAGAATCCCAATTTTCGTAATACTATGACTTCATAGGAATACAAGTGTGAGGTTCCGGAATTGTCCGGAACTAAAATAGAAAAACGTAAAATAATTTAATTATTAGAGAAAAAAAGGAATGAACAGAAATTTTTTATAGAAACTTGAGAAATAGTCTAGACCCGTGTTTCTCAACCGCCGGTCCGCAACTCTAATCTGACCAGTCCGCGAAAACTTTAAAAATATATACTGTACCTTCCATGCGTTGTTCTCAAATAGGAAATATGTGGATTATTAATCCGTTTATTGATAGCAAACTAATAGATTGAACGACTTTGAATACGAAAAACTAATCAAATTAAGTTCAGACTTGGGATTTAAAACATTGTTTGAATCAATGCCCATAACACAGTTTTGGATTAAAGTTAAATCTGAATATCCAGTTTTACATAAAAAGGCAGTTAGGATGTTAGTACCTTTTCAACAACGTACTTATGTGAATCAACGTTTTCACAATGGTAATGATAAAATTGAAACAACGAAATTGTTATAGTGTTAGTTCTGCCTCACGCCTTGCAGTTACCACCTTAACTCCAAGAATTGATGATCTTACTAGCAAAAAAGAAAAGCAGCGATCACATTGATTTGTATACTAATGTACTGGTAAATAAAATAACAAATATGTATTGCTCAATGTAGTTTGCAGTTCTTTTTACAACACAGAATTTTTTTTCAATTAAAAATAATATTGTCACCGGTCCACTTAAAAAAAGCAGATATTTTCCAGTCTGCGATGAGTTTCGGGTTGAGAAACACTGGTCTAGATCATCCTTTCTCAAAGTGGGTGATAACGCCCCTTTGCAGGCACTGGAGGCTTTCATGGGAGCAGTAGAAGGCTCAGTGATTAAATATGAGTTTTATTTCTTCTCATCAAAACATTCTTTGATCTTAGAAATAGGATATGGGTCACACCCTATCTATCCTATCCATATAATAATGCATGTTTAAACATTATATTTGCAATAACTGTTTTTAAGATATGCAACAGATGGTAATGTAAAAAGGTTAAAAAAAAGTTACTCTTTTTGTTGAAAGATTGATTTTAAAATTATGTGTTTCTAAATCAAGAGTTCATTTTAAGCACAGTACAGTACTATTTGTTTATCAAAGAATAATTTTTGTTGATTTTATGTTACCTTGTATTTACTAGATTTACATACAAATAATAATGATAAATGATGATAAAATAAAAAGCTTGTGTTTTGTTTGTAAATTGCTTATTTTTTCATTACATTGAAGTTGTGGATTCTATCAAACATTTTTCTACAGGATGTATGTACTGTATTTTTTTAATGTGGCAGTCTTTGAAGCATATCAACTGTGCAAAAAGAGGGCTAAATGTACTCAATGTTAACAGTAAATGCTGTTTTATTATGTCGATATTCCACACTAAAAAATGTGAGGGTCAGGGAATTTGGACAAAGTTGGTCAGGGAAAGTCAGGGAATTCAAAACAAAAATTTGAGTAGGAACCCTGTATTTTGTAAAATAAGATGTTAGTTAGTTTTAAATGTTTCTAAAATTTATTATAGTAAAGATAATCATAGGTTAAGTATTATGTTTTACTTTTATTATTAATGTTTATTTCATGTTGAAATTGTAATTTTATGTTAAAATAACGTATTTCTTATATAATATATTAACACATTATGACAACATCAGAATCCTCTGTTTTTTAATTTTTTCATCATATTAATTTAAAACATGATTTCCTGTAATAATATGTAATACTTAACTTAGTTCTTTAATTTGAGAATTGTAATATAATATAAAGATTTTTAATAATGTATATACATATATTTTTTAAAGATAATATCTTCTTGTAATGTTCATTACTCGACGTAGAAGAACAGGTTCAGATTCAGAAAGAGAATCACCAGGAATTAATTACAATTCTACTAGTTTAGATACTTCCATTATATCATCGGACCAGAAGATTAACAATAATTTTGCATCTAATTCTCAAGTTGAAATGACGTGTCGGGATAGAACCGGAGAATTTATGTCGACTGTAAAGTCTATGCAAGGAAGAATGGTATGCTTATTATTTTTTAAAATATAGATTTATTAACAATAATTTAAAATTAATCACTTTCTTTGTCACCTGCTGCATTTTTACACAAACTATTGCATATAAATGCAGCAGATGATAAATTATCATACTGTTATATTTTGTGTGCAAAAATTTATTTAAAAAATGTTTGCAGAATATATAACTTAAACAGAATTATAGTTATAACTGTTCATAAACATCTATAATTTTTTAAATTTATATTTTTAATATTGAATTATTTGTAATTGAACTCTGTTGTGATTGAATAAGTACCATCTGTATTTAAAATCGTACCACAAAAACTCACTTTTTGTGTACACAATGGTAAACAATTACAAACTGTAAACTTGTCCTTTGCCAAAATTTATAGAAAAAATTGTATAATAGAAATTTATTGTACAATTTTTATATAAATTTGCAGTTTGTAATTGTTTATTATTATATAAATTGTGATTTGTATGGTAGTGGTTTCAGCAGAGGTGTTCTGCAGGATAGATGAAATATCTGGGTTTTGACAGTAGCCTGCAAGGAAAGGTTTAGTAGATTAGAGTTACAAACTAGAGTTTTTTATATTATGCATATATAACCCATTCACTTTAAACAGTGTTTATTGTAAAGTAAAGTTTTGAAGTATTACTAAAATAATTGTCTAAAAGCAATTTTTAATTAAAAATGTTCCTATTTGTATTAAAAATTTCATTGTGTAAAATTATTATGTAAAATAGTTTGAGAAATTATTAATTTTTTTAAATCACAATTTAATGTTTTAACTGTTTAATTGCTGTTAGTCCATTCTTACAGTGATAAATCTCTGTTTAGGATTTAAATATAATCTAAAATTAATTGTAGTTCTAGAATGTGGAATTGTTTTGATTTCTTTTTTTGTTGAGAATGAGCCAATATGCTAAAAAAAGTGTTTGAAGTTTGTTTTTACTTTGGTAATTAAATTCTATAATTTAAATTGTCTATAAATTAAAATTTTAATTTTATAATAAAACATAAAGGGAAATTTATAACTTTTTATTGAATTAAGCAGGGCAATGGATATATGCCATTGACACAAGGTAAACGGGCAAAAGAAGTACACGAATGGAGTGAATTTATGAGGATAGCCAAGTAAATATACTATTTTAATTCAATAAATTAATATAATTTTAATGACGTTTTAAAAATAAAAACTATAAAAAAAATATTTTAATTTTTTAAAATTTTAGACAGATTGGAAAAGATATCAGTAACACTTTTACAAAATTGGAAAAATTAACAATTTGTAAGTATTTATATAATTATGATATGAAAATTTTAATAGTATTATAAAATAATTACTAGTTTAAAGTTAATAAAGTTTAAAATTGTAATGAAAATGCCATTAACTATAATTCATTATTCTTGGCTTGGATATACATTAACATTAATTACAAAATGTACACATATCAATAGTCATTTATAATTCTTATTTCAATACTTGTTTAATAATTTTGTTAAAAAAGTTTATATTAAAATTTTCCTATATTTTTTTTATTTTTAAATCAAACAGACAATGAATTTTAGGAGAAAATTAGGAATCGATTTCTCAAATTTTTTCAAAATTAGAACAAAATTTTTGCAGTGTGTTCATTTTTGAAGAAATTTACTAAAATCTAAAATTACTGCAAAATTTTTGTAAAATAATTTGAAATTAATAAAACTATTTTAACATAAGAAACAGCATTTTATAATAAAATAGGTCTCTAAATGTATTTAGGTATATTTAAATTTTATAACCATTATACTGTAATTTATATTTTCTATATATAACTATTATAAATGTGTGTTAATAGTAATTATTAGTTGATAATTAATACATTTACATTACACACACTATTAGAAGCTGTTAAAATAAACAAATGTAATTTTTTTCTATTTATGCATAAATATTTAAAGAGAGGTGTAATTATAATAGAAATATTTAAATTTTAAAAACAATTGTTGCAACTTACATTTTTAATTCTATTGCATTAGACTGGAGAAAATTTAAAAAAATTTAAATGCTTTAATGAAATAAGTAAATAGTTCATAATAATACAGGTAACCCCCGTATAACACGGTAGTTACGTTCCAAAAAATTGCCGTGTTATGTGAATCCGTGTTATGCGAAACAAAGAACTAGTACGAAAAGGAGGGTTAGGTTCCAGAAATTAAAAAACGTGCTACTGTATTTTCATAATTAAGATAAATATCTTTATTAAAATTTTCTTAAGTGATACATATTATGGTAATATAAATTAAACAATGTTTTCTTTGTCACCACTAAAAGCACTATTGACCGAGAGCGTTTTATTTTTGGCAAGTTATCCTTATCCTTTGAGCATTTTTCTGCATTATTTTCAGATTCATGCTTTACCTTTTGCAAAAAGTGTATGTAATTTTAGATTGCTTGCTTCTAGTTAAAAGATCTTTATAAATTTCCTTATATGGTGCTAAGCACTTATGGAATAAGGGAAAAACATCTGGCAACACCAGAAGCAGAAGCGTCGAGATATGGCAACATTGAAACAAGTTTGGAGAAGGACCATGTGTATGGAGACGAGAAAAGAAAATTTACACACTGAAGTACTAATAGTTCACGAAAATAATAATTTTCGTGAACTATTAGTACTTAAGTATGTAAAAATTTATTACATTTCATGTTGTACGAGGGTTTTACCCATTTCTCGAACCGTGTCAGAGTGAATATGTGTTATAAAAGTACCGTGTTATACGGGGGATGGTAGCAATTCTCGAACCGTGTTAGAGCGAATCCGTGCTATAGAAGTACCGTGTTATACGGGGGTTACCTGTATAAGTTTATATAATTTTGTTTTTAATATTGCAAATACAACACAGAAAAAAATAAATGTGTATAAAATTAGTACATGTGCACAAAAAATAAACAAAATAGTACATCTCATTTTATTTTATTTTAAATTGAAAAAACATGATGTTAAATATTAATTTATTTTAACATTAATTAATTCTTATAATTTATTATGTAGGTAATTTTTATATCAAAAGTATATTCAAAAAAACTTAATTGTAGAAATTTTTATTTTTTAATGATAATGTAGAATTTAATCTAAAATTCACAAAATCATGATTATTTTATTTGTTTTAAATTCATTAAATAAATTTAATTGTGGTTAGAAATATTTAGATATAACAAGAAACTTTTCTATTAGCTATACCAAGGTTTTTATGTATTAATACTATAATAATAGAACTTACTTTACTATATTAAAATTATATAATAATAATTAAAAGTAAATGGTAAATGTATTTTCGAACATATCAGCATAAAATGTGTTATAGATGTAATACTAAAAATATTTAACTCTTAAATATATTTAATATGTATTCAAAATTATTATTTTTTTTTATAGTGGCAAAAAGAAAATCACTTTTTGATGATAAACCACTTGAAATACAAGAATTGACATATATTATTAAACAAGATATTAGCAGTCTTAATAAACAAATTGCTCATCTTCAAGAGGTTGATAGTATAAATTTTATCTTTATTTCATTTCAAAAGTTTTATAATCTGAGATTAAATCATTGAAAATTAATTTTGAATTAGATTGTAAAATCAAGAAAATATCGCAACGGAAAACATATGCAGTCACATTCCAATTCTGTTGTTGTTTCCCTTCAAGTAAGTTTAATGAAAATTTAGGTCTCAAACTTCTCTTTATTCTGTAATTAAAAGAAATTATTTTATTTTAGTCTAAATTGGCATCAATGTCTAATGATTTCAAACATGTTCTTGAAGTCAGGACAGAGGTTTGTAAAAAATTTCATTATACAGTTTTGAAATTATATTTTATTTTATTTATGATACAATTTTTAAAATTTTAGAATTTAAAACATCAAAGAAATAGACGGGAACAGTTTACTCAAGGAGCTGTATCAGCAGCATTACCCCAGGCTGCAATGTCTGGACATACGGGATCAGTATTAATTGCAGATGAAAGAGCAAATGGAAATGATTGTACTATTAATATGGATCTTGTTAGTAAACCACAGCAGCAAATGCAATTAATTGATGAACAAGTAAGTTACTTTATGAAATATATATGTAATTGTAATTTGTTATTTCTAAATACCTTTGACAATCTATATGGTTATAGATTAAACATTTTTATACACAATTTTACAATTCATTTCTAATGTAATGTGAATTGAAAGAAACATATGTTATAAAGAAAAAATGATTTTAATTTAGTTTAAAGTAATCTCTCTAAGCTATAATACAATAAAGCTGTTTGCTTCATTCACCAACATGAATTATTTCAGTAGAAGCAGACTTCATATTGAAAAATGAAATAGTGCATTCAAAAAGAACATCAAATACATTACCAGAAAAATCTGAAATTTTTCTGGTAAATCAAATACTTTAGGTCTATGAGATGGTAAAGTTTGATTTTTAATTTTTCATAAAACCTCACAACTTCCATTGGACAATTAATTTAAGCCTCTCCTTTTCTCAGTCCTATGCCCTTCAAAGAGCATGGTGATATTACAAATTCACAGCTTTAATTGTATCTTTCCACTGCTCCCGGTATTGTGCCATGTGGATGGCTTCATACATTGTATGTCCTGTAATCATCATTACTTGGTCTGCCCACCTAATCCAGGGGCAGACTGGCCATGTGGAAAATGTGGAAAATTCCACATGGGCCGTATACAATTTGGGCCATTTCTTTTTTCTAAATATGTACATAATGTACCGTTTGGTTAAGTTTAATTTAAAAAATTCATTTATTTTTTTTTCTTAAGTAAGATAAATTTCAATTTTTAGATATAATATAGGTATATGTGTAGGCAGTGCCGTAACTAGCCATTCCTGTGCCCTGTGCAAGAACTTGCATTTAGGCCCCTTAATTAATTAGGTTTAGAAAAATAATAACACAAACACGTGCATTTTGGGACACTTCCAAATGGGCCCTGTGCAGGTGTACCTGTTGCACCTGCCTAGTTACGGCACTGTGTGTAGACCTGTATCATTTTACCCTGCTCTACCGTATCCGAAGTTAAATTAGTTCGGCCGATCTGAGTCAAACACTACATTAGCCTGATTCGGCCCAAACAGAAAGCATCATAGGAGAAAAATAATCAAAACTACCTTCTAAATAGAGAAAATTGGTCATTTGTTTACATTGCTAGAAACTTTTCACCACTCCTATGAATCTTAATGCTAAACTATAGAAATGCAAGTTATTAGTTTTGTACCTAGCCACCAAAGCAATGATTGTAGTCATAACAAATTTAATGGCCACTTATATTATTTCCTTTATTTTAGGCAAGTAAAAAATGTTATTCAATAATAATTTCTCTGTATTCCAAACGATTTAATTAAAAATAATCTATTTTGTATTGTGAGGCCGGGACCTCACCCCCTCTCCAATGGGAAACTGGTTGTCGAGCTAAAGCTAATAAATCGATGATTTATTTCGTAAACAGGAACGAGTGTAAGACGATTTAATTGTCACATTTCTGACCAAATTCACACGTCCTCGATCTAGATCAGGGTAGGTGGGAGAGAGAGCAACCGGGGAGAGTTTGACTGTCATCTTACAGAGAATTCAAAGCACATTAGACCAAAATTTACAGGACCATCACTAAATATTCATGAAAACGCATTTCAAAAATTAAGCAGTATTTTAATACAGTTTAATCCAGTAGCTACTCAACACAATATTATTTCAGAATCGCAACATTTTAAATCGTCATGGAATATTTTAAAGGAAAATGTCAATGAAACTTTTATAAAATTAAACGAAAATGAACATTCTACTGATGATCAAGTAGAAACTAATAAAGATGTGATTTTATCCTCTTACTGCATTGCTTGCAAAAATTGCTCTATTTGTTGTTATAATATACTAGCAGACCCCGCCACGCGTTGTTGTGGCTCAAAATGTATAAATGTATAACACTTCCCCCGTGTGGGGGGAAATTTTTCGAAAAATTTCTTTTTAGTGTACATTCTCTTGGCGTACCCTATTAAAACGCAATCAAAAACGCAAAAACCCGCATCTAAAATAGTATAATAGAAATCAAGTTCTTCAAGGTAAGCCTTAATCCTGTCCCTCTCCCCCACGGGGGGAATATTGAAAAATCCCTTTTTAGCGTATATTCTGTTGACATACCGTATTAAAACGCAATCAAAAACACAAAAAACATCTAAAATATCTAAAATAGTAGAAATAGAAGCAGAGTTTTTTATGGTAAGCCTTAATCCTGTTCATCTCCCCCCAGTGGGTGGAATTTCGACACGTATATTATATAAAAACACGTGCGTATTCGAATGCAGCATTGTGTGAAGATTTCAAAGGAATTGGTAGGAACAAACGAACATTACATTTTTATTTATATAGATAGATAGATGATGATCTGCTTTAGTTCATC